ACTGGTGGCGGTCGATGAGGAAAAATGAAGAACCGCACAAACTCCAAATCAAAATTGACGATAACATGTTATCAGATTCATTTTGTTCTTGTAAAGCCGGGTAAGTTTTTACATTTTCTACTTTTTTCTTTCAATTAAGGTAGATCGGTCGTTACGTAATTTGACAATTTGCGCAATTTCAGCGCATCGTCAATCGTCTCTAACGACACTTCAGTCTGTTTTATCAATTTAAGGAAATAAAACAATTATCTATAAGATAAACACACATTATCAACTTGTCTGTAACTCTGTATGATCGATAGGCTACAGATTTTCGACAACGTTTGTCGACTATGATTCCATACGACAACTGTAGCACGTTCATAGACTTGCCCTTAAAGAAATCGTCGGAATAGCTCCTTTTCCAATTTGAATTGGCACTAGAAAATGTATGACAGCTAAAGCTCACGTAGGTGCTATGTCATGTAAAGAATAAGTGTTGTAAATTCCAATCAAAGCGGCTGCGTACATTTTGAGGTAGAACGCCCTGAATGTGCTGCTGTAGTTTAGATTTCGACGAAAACCGGAAGTGCGTCGTAACGCCACTCATTTGGACTTAGACAGCCCGGGAGCCACCGGCTCATATGACGGTTATTTTGGAGAATATTAGATTGGGCCTCGTTTTCAAAACTTGAAGCGGCGGCCATATCCAATTTGGCGGGAGGAGCAGGCATAGAGACAGGTAAGATGAACAGACGTTTACACGCTGATATGTTGATAATTTTACTAATGCACTTGACAGAACGATAAAGTATGTTCTCAAGCTATATTTTTATACCAAAGTAGTGTTCAAGTATCGGTTTCACTGAATCTTTTATCAAGTTACTGTCGTGTTCCAAAATGGTGGCACACAGAACCGAAATGTAAACACGTTCTTTTGAATTGTGCCAAATGCAGATGAAGGTTATTTTTCTTTGTCTGTTCAGTTTTTTTATAGTTTGACATTTGTTTTTGAATATGTTAAAATTTTAGGAAGGAACCTAACCTGCAACTTATCGATTTTCTACATGTACGACAGGCAGTATATTTTGCAATGTTCCAAGTAACTACAGCAGCAGTCTCGTGTTACATCTTGAATGAATGTCGAAGTTTAATAATGAATTCTTGTCTTTTTATGCATTTCTTGTTGTTTTGGAGTTAACTAGATTAAATTTACTTCATGAAATGACAGTGTGTGTGGTTGTGGTGCTCACAGTGGAGTGACTATGGGGAATGTATTGCCTCATGTCTTGTATGAATGTCACAGTAAGATATTGAGAATTTGCCTTCTTCTGATATTTTTTGTGTTTTGGTGTTTATTAGATGAAATGGCTTGTGAAATGACATGCAGTATACTTGATTCTGCATAGAGTCAGTCAAAAGATTATATATGTGTGCATTTTTTCCATCTACCATAAGAAGATTAGATACAATTATAACGTCAGAAATTACAATAGAGGGAGTGTGATAATGATAGTGTCGCTAAACGATTTTGACGGAATATAGTGACTAGCCTAATCCCCTTGTCGCCTGGTTAGGCACGCCCCCTTAGAGTACTCATGTAAACAAAAGGTCTTCCATAGAGAACTATCCTTTTGTTCAACAGCTTCGCGCGTGCAGCGGATTAGGCCCTATGTATATAGTGACACTATGCAGCTAACTGCAGTTAAATTTGTGAAAGCTGTTATTTGATTTATTCTATTCTGAAGATTGGTGATGCATATTTTGAGTGCTTAATTATTTACCCTCCTTCTTACAAGAGAAAGGAAAAAGGGAGAGAAACAGAGACAGTGTCAAATAAAAAGGGTAAATAGTAATATAAAAATTTATTAAAGGGACTCGCGGTGGAAGAAACGATAGGCTGTTTTGCAGCAAGGTATGCAATTATAATCCGAAATGGCCCATTGCAAATACGGCCGTACTTTAAATACATTACTCATAGTTGGATCACCGGCATTTTTTGTTATCTGACAAATTAGGGCAGATTAACGTTTTAGCTTTTAATTCTAAATTCACAAATGTTTCGGACTAAACTCCATATCAGATTCATAGCCATGACGCTGTGCCACCAGAATGACAGTTTAAATGTCTAAACAAATTTCGTTTCTAGCCTGATCTTTTTTATTATCAATTGAAAATTTTCCATGTTCAACTACGTAAACGTGTACGTACACTATTCTAGACTTTTTTTATTTTTGCCAACTACACAAACAAATACCACTAGCTTCCCCCTCTCCTCCATAAACAAACACACGCCTCCTTGCTTACATTTTGCCGTTTTTGCGTCTCTCGTTATTGCACACACTGAAGATATAAGGTACGTATGATACCATTAATTGTATGATAATCTATGCTAGCCTTTACATTTTACCGACTTAATTCCTCAGACCTTACAACACTACCGGTCTTCTCGAAAATCTCCCCATCTAGGGACATATCTCCTAATTTCCCGATTCACAATAAAAATCCCCTGATTTATCAGACTTGAACGAGTGGCGATAAAATGTTTCGCTAGATCTTGTTAACACTCAGCGAAATGCGCCTAGTGATTATATTCAATGTGCCATCACTTAATTGCTTTCGCGGTTTCATTAATTGACGAGAATAATTGTAGTAAGCAAGAATGAGGAAATGCTGAAGACAAAACAACGCCGGGCCTTTGTCACTACAGTATCTCCCTTAACATTTTCTATGATGCTGTCAAAGAAAAGGGATCAGAGATAGCGATCATGTAAACAGCTGCTGCTTTACAGGTGGACTTCTTAGTTTATCATTTAAATGCCCCCCCTCCCCCAGCAGACCCAACTTGAGGAATGGCATATAGTAGCTACATGNATCCTTACCATATGAGGTGTATTAAATTTGAAGCAAAATATTAGTCTCACTGCATCAAGAGAAAATTTTAAAAATTCTTCACCAGACAAAAATCCAAAACCACCCCCTAGAAAATCAAATGGTTGCTGTCTCAGTGAGCTATTTTTATAGACTGTTAACTTGCATTTTTTTCATCCCTATTCCCAGTATGTTTTGACTAAATTTTTAAAAATCTATAGATATTTATTTTCATGAATCCAGCATTTTCAACTATGTGCTGAATGCTTTATTTTGCTTTTCCCCAGAAAAATCATGACTAATTATTAATTTTTCAGTTTGAATGGACATTGTTCCCATATAGTTGGACTCCTCAAGACACTCCGGGGATTTAAACTTCACAATTTCACACATGTACCAGACTAACAAAGCTGTACTAGCATACCACAGCAATGGCATGTACCAAGGGGTGACAAAATTCAGCCAGTGCCATTGAACCATGTTGTAGTCGCAAGGCCTGTTGAAAATAGGAAAAGACGTCCTGTTTTGTGTCACATTGAGCCAGACTTTGTGTAAGTATGATTGGATATTGTACACAGATATCATTTGGGACGAAGCCTTTAAGATCTAACTTAAATAACTCATATGCTTGAAAGCCCATACTATGGTTTTTATTATATACTTTTTAGCAAAAAATTCTACAGAGATAATATTTGTATGTACAGTACAGACATCGGGTAGTTTGTTTTCGACCTGAGTGTAGTGTTACATTGTGTAACACTCAAATTACACTAGATAATTTAATAGTATTATTTCAAAACCGGGGTGTTCAAGTTATGTGAAAATACTGTTGAATTTCAGATTACCAAAGATAACCCATCAAGACATCAACATCCTCAAAAACCTGAAAGGGACCCCATTGGCCTATATTGCTTCAGTGGATGTTCCAAAAGTAGATACACCATTAGGATAAGTGCAACTTGGCTCATATCTATCTTATCAGGTAAAAATCTGTGTGATTTCGCATTACATTTCGACAACAAGTTCTCATCAGCTTTTGGCCAAAAAGTGACAAAATTGGGGTTAAAAAATCACTGTATACAATAAAGCATTTTTCACTTCTATATATACACATTTTCATTTAAATGAGTACCATTCAAATTTATTTCTACAATTATACTTCATTTTTTAATCATCAGTTATCTTCATGTGAGCTTTTATCAGTGACAAAAGTATCTTGAAATAAAGTTAAAAAGCAACATATTGTCCATATTTTATTTACACTCTGAAATAAGTTAGTTGGTATAATGTTTGAAATAATTTGGTAAGTTTTAACTTTTGCAATTAGTCTTTCAATGTGAACCCTGTGTTTAGCTGTTTTTTTGAGTCTGGTATGTTTGTGCTGCTGTCATTTGGGCCCCACTAGATGAAAATGGAGGAATGTTCAATCTGAGCCCTAATGTTTTTAATTCTTTTTCTATTGTAAGTCCTTTGTCAGCCATGACAGAGTCTCCTTCAGCAATATAACCTTGTTGCTTAAGCTTATCTAAATGTTCATAAAATCCACTCTGTTCAGTTATGCATTTATCAGATATAGACCCAGTAAATAGTAATGAAATGAAAATAACAGATCCACTGGGATCACAGCCAATAAGACCCTCCAGTGTTGTATTGGACTTGTAATCACTATACATCTGACTTTGCAAACCAAGAGCAGATGGAGTTTGTGTTTTGAACTCTGTACCATCAATAATAACCAATGTATTTGGAGAATCAGCTTTGAAGTCTTTTGGCATATTCTCAATAATGATATTTCTATGTGGCCAAATTGACAGTTGTCCAAACTTAAGATGCATGTGGGCTATCCATGTATTAAAAACAATTCCAACAGACTGAACAGTTAAACCAAACCTAATGGCAATATCCTTTAAACCAAGTTATGACGTAACCGTATCAACACAGAAAATAAGCAGTCCTCTTGTGTCAAAATTTTAATATCATTCCGCCCTTTTTCATACTGTAGTATATAGATGTCTGGTAGCAAATATTTGAACAGACTTTTAAACCGCTCATGAGTAATTCCTGTGTAGTACTTAAAGAGTCCTTTTATCTTCTGTTCTTTGTCTAAAATGCTTTCTATTCCAAATTTCATTTGATCATCAATTTTTCCTTCAGCTGTTTATTTTCGTCTTTCAATTTCATGATCATTGACTCCAATTGCTTGATTTTGTTATTTTTCAAGTCTAATTCACCACGCAATATGTGTAAATCTGTAGATGTAGCTAACATGTCCATTGGAGAAACCCCTGCAATAAATAAATAAATATATATATATATATATATATAGATAGATAGATAGATAGATAGATAGATAGATAGATTGATAGATATATTTACAATTATAATAAATGTATATGCTGACATGAATTCTTATTTAAATATACATTTAATTTTCAATTATGACTGGTTTATTTCAGACAAAAAACATCAAAAGGACAGAGGAACCAGTCCACGGAATTGGATGTGGTGACAACTCTGTTTTCAAACCATCGCCAGTGATTTTACCCGAGGAATATGTTATTTTGAACAATGAATATAATGACACAGAATTTGTTAAGCTGGAACTTAAAACCAGAGATCAATCTTTGTCAAAAGAGGCACGCAAGACCAGACTAACTGCCTCAAATTTTGGCCGTGTGATCAATAGAAAATCAGTACCTACTGAAAAATTTTTACGAAACTTATTTTCATCAAAACAGATTACGGCTCCATCTTTAGAATATGGAAAACGTCATGAAAATGAAGCTAAGAAGGGGTACATGGAGCGACACAGAAATACCCATTTTCATGAATGTGGGTTAGTTATTAACAAGGACTACGCATTCCTGGGGGCAACTCCAGATGGAAAGCTGTGTGGCAATGGACAAACCGGAATTGTAGAAATTAAATGTCCCTTCACAGCAAGAAACATGAAAATTTCGACTGCATGCGAAGACATTGCCAATTTTTGTCTTGAAAACAATAATGGGGAAATAAGATTAAAAACAACCATGACTATTACGCTCAAATTCAAGGACAGCTCATGATAACAGGATGCGACTTCTGTGAATTTATTGTATTTACACAATGTGATATGCACATTCAGAGGATTATGCCAGATCAAGTTTACATGACAGAACCTCTACAAAAACTATCCAGATTTTTCAAAGACTTTGCAAAACCATTTTTGTCTAATACTTTAAGCTTGAAATAAACTTACACTGTTCTTCTGTCTGAGTGCCTGTACCAGTTTCTGTTTCAACAGTTGATTCAGATGCATGTGAATTATCCTCATCACTGCAAGAACAAAAATAATTTAAACTAAAAAAATTATAATCTATAAATTTTTTGTTATGTATACAGCTGAAATGGGCATAATGGGGACATTAAATAAAGAATGTTGTTCACAAATAAATGAAATTATTGAATGGGGGCCACAAGTCCAATTTTTTAAAACTTTATTTATGTCATGGAACGTTATCCATAAATTTTGTGATCACTTGTACACCAGAACCAAATAAATTTCCCACTGAATGCATTTCAAAAGTTTTGAGCATGAGCAAAACATTAGGGTCAGCTATTCTAATATCCAGGAACGTACAAATAATTGTATTTCAGACGGCATTCTTGCTATTTCCGTCTCGGGCCTATATCTGGAATGTGCAAGAATCATTTGATGTTCATTCTGAGCATTCTAGCGGCATTCTTTCAAAGCCGTAAGAATTAAGGTAAATTTGAAATTCCCTCCCGAATGGTGCACGAAATTAAAATTTTATTCATTCAAGTTGGTTCTGCTTGATTCCTGCTGATTCCGAATAAGTGTGACAGGGGTATTAGTTTGAACAAAGCATGTTCTGTTGTGTACATAATTCCTGATCAACTTTTTATCAAGAAATGAGTAATTGAAAATTATGCTTAATTTACATGTTCTCAGATGTTTTGATGTGTAATATAATAATATTACCTTTCAACCTCCTGCAATAGTCTTTTCTTTGCTTTCCTTGCTTTTCTGAAGACACTGCTGTCAAGGGGAATAGGATCAGGATAATCTGATGTTGGGCCACTGGAATTTTTGAAATGCTACTTGAATGAAAAAATGTTTAGTTTTTATTATAAGGGTTTATGGTTTAAAGACATAAACATCGAACATATTTTCATAACACTGGTGGTTTAACAAGAAAAAATCCTCAGTAACCAGGGAAAATACACAATTTTACGATGCGTGACTGTCACATTCCCTGTCCTGCAATACAAACTTACAAAGTCTGTCGCTATATTAATATTCGGCGCCATCGTCACGTTTTGTATACCGTTTACTGTAAATAAATTGTTTTTGTAATAAACTGAATACGTTTATACTTGCACTGCATAAATAATAGCTTAACTCACCTTTGAACATACAGTCAAAAGATTATATATGTGTGCATTTTTTCCATCTACCATAAGAAGATTAGATACAATTATAACGTCAGAAAATACAATAGAGGGAGTGTGATAATGATAGGGTCGCTAAACGATTTTGACGGAATATAGTGACTAGCCTAATCCCCTTGTCGCCTGGGTAGGCACGCCCCCTTGGAGTACTTATGTAAACAAAAGGTCTTCCATAGAAAACTATTCTTTTGTTCAACAGCTTCGCGCGGGCAGCGTATTATGTATATCGCCAACTACACAAACAAATACCACTAACTGCCCCCCCTCCCCCATAAACAAACACACGCCTCCTTGCTTACATTTTGCCGTTTTTGCGTCTCTAGTTATTGAATACACTGAAGATCTAAGGCACGCATGATACCATTACATTGTATGATAATCTATGCTAGCCTTTACATTTTACTGACTTAATTCCTCAGACCTTACAACACTACCGGCCTTCTCGAAAATCTCCCCATCTAGGGACATATCTCCTGATTCCCCGATTCACAAAAATATCCCCTGATTTATCAGACTTGATCGCGTGGCGATAAAACGTTTTGCTAGATCTTGTTAACACTCAGTGAAATGCGCCTAGTAATATATTCAATGTGCCATCACTTAATTGCTTTCGCGGTTTCATTAATTGCCGAGAATAACTGTAGTAAGCAAGAATGAGGAAATGCTGAAGACACAACAACGCCGGGGGATATGTCTCACTTTATCCCTTAACATTTTATATGATGCTGTCAAAGAAAAGGGATCAGAGATAGCGATCATGTAAACCACTGCTGCTTTATAGGTGGACTTCTTAGTTTATCATTTAAATGCCCCCCTCCCCCCAGCAGACCCAACTTGAGGAACGGCATATAGTAGCTACAGTACAGTGTATATCAAACATCGGCTTCGCCTCGCCAATTATCTGCTCTATTTTGCGTAAAGCTAGGCGCCTCGTACTTTATCTATACCTTAGACATAATCCAGTAACCTCTGGAGATAATTGTAATTGTAACCTCAACAGTCAGTGTCCCTATTAAAGCACCACAATAAATACTGAAAGGCGGAGTGCAAAAATTAACTTTTTTAAATATCGATTACAACTTGCTGTACAATGACTGAGTCGTGAAAGAAGTATTGGACTTCTTTGCCTTAAAAACAAATTTATTTCGAAATCAAAGGAGCATTTTTTTTGGGGGGGGGGGGCGCGTGGGGGTTTAAATCATATGTCATAAAAACACTACAATCAAGTATTTTTGTTACGATCTGCAACATTTGTTTATTTATGTAGCAGTTCGAAGTTAGCGCCAGAGGTAAATAGTAACTCATTCTGTAATCCTTCTTGCACATTTATTTAATTGTATCAAAACGTTTGATACACAATGTTCACTAGTGTCATCATTTTGGCGATTTATTAAAACCATATTTGTACAAAGTAGGTTAGTATAAGTTATGCAACAACCAGTGTGAAGAACAACTCCCTTTTTATGTGAGGCAAGACAACCTATTCAAACTGATTATAACCTTGATATGTAAACTCACGTGTGAAAACACATTCTTTGTCCATTTTACAAGACAATGGAGGCGACCAAGTGGAGTAATTACAATATAGGCCTACCCCTGTACAGTCAAAGAGAAATTAGTTTTGAAACTTCGGATCAGCCCTTTGCTTGTTCGAAGAAAAGAGATAGATGTCGCGACGCGAATCCTTTTATTAACCCTTCATGGGTTTGTATAAAGGTGTGAAAGACAGGCAACGATTTTGAGTCGCTGTTGATATTATTTGCAATTAATATTGGAGTATACCTCCCTCGCCTACATGTAAACATCAGACAAGGCGTTTAGATCGATAATAGTGGAGGTTAATCTGAAAAATATGTTTAAATTCTTGATTTTTATTATTTGAAACATCTTTCATACACGTCCTCATATTTATATTTCTCTCTGGCCATACTGATTTTATTGTATTACACGGGACTCTAAAGCACAGGGCAATGTGAAAGTTAATTGGCTACAGAGACTTGTTATCCTTCATGCAGTTTTATAGCTTGAATGAACTAGAAACAGGCTTTACTTAGCTTTACTTATTTTACGACAATTTAAACAAAATCAGTCTGCAAGACTTGCTTTGACTTGGTGTTTTATCAGATTAAAACCTGACACTGGTTTTAAAAGAATAAATATAAGTATGTTGGATGGATTAAATCACCGATATCGTTCTATTTTAACTTAACGTGGTCATTTACACAGATAATCTTTATCAGTTGCCTGTCGTTCAGCATGCATTATAGGCGAGTAGCCAACAGTGACGATGATCAATCCAAGTAAAATATAGGCAAGTATTGTTTACAAAATAGATCATGATGAATAAACCTATGCTTTAATAAATAATCACCACACGCTTCTGTTTTTGTTACATGAAATATTTTGGTTTAAAGACGCTCAATGATATCAGAAATGATTTGACGCTTTAAAAAATGGACAGGTTCAAGGGGCATTTTTTTGTTTCAGCCAGGGGGACTTCAGGTAGATGATTCAGTGTAGGTGTTTCCTCGGATGATAGCAGCATCACACCCTAGGTCTAAGCGAGTTGACTAGAAGCTTTTTGCCCAGGCAGCCTATTCCTACTACTTTAACTAATAACCATAAACCACAAAGGTTTATGCGGTAAATACAATTTAAACTAAATGAGGTGCATTGGCAGAGGCACAAGTACAATCCAACGCCAACGTGCAACAGGGAAAAGTCTGACAGTGTATTACATAATATATGAAAGTACGGTCAATATTAACAGTGTAAGACATCAGTTAAATAGTAGGGGGTCATACTATCTATTGTTAAACGCGGCTGTTATTATCTCTCGAACAAGCTTAAACCATGCCTAAACAATAAACTGTGTCTCCGGCTGTTGTGCAGAAACTGCATGTCGAACATATTTTGCTACAGTTACAAACAGGGTAAACTGGCGGCTTGTTCTAGATCGCTCTAGAAAGAAGGCATAAGTGCGGTACCCGGCACAAACAACTATAACATATTCATATCTTAGCGCTTACATATGACGCGCAAAGAGCTAAGCAATTAGCCTTGACAAGTTGATCAGTTTTTAAACAACAACGAGAAAAAAGAACGCCTTGTCATAGTTATGAGACAAATCGCTTGCAACGTGCAACAAGGGGGATGTATGACAGTGTGGTCACACTACATGTTTATGAAAGTACGCTGGATTTAACGGTATTAGACATCGCTCAAAGAGGAGGGGGTTTACTATAGCCCGCAATCTATTGTTAAACGCGATCATTATCTTTTCTCAAACAAATATAAACCAAACCTAAACAATAACATTGTTAAATCAGCTAAGTGATGTAAAATCATATTGGAAATTTACGTTGACGACGGAGACTGTTTCATTCGCAAAGTTAATGAAACAAGACTGGTCCAAGTTAACTGCCTATATTGAATAAATCTTAGACTGTTAAACCTAAGGCCCTGCTTTACGTACTTTGGTAATAGATAATGAGTGAGCTAGGTTTATTCACATATATCACAAAGCATAAGGGCCTTATGCTGCAAACAACCCATTTTGAACGCAATCGTCATCGCTCCCGAACAACCTGAAATCATGCCTATACAATAGTAGGAGATGCACGTCGAGTAAAAGATTCAAGACCTGGGTGCCCAGCACTATTATAAAAAAAGAAGATGACTTGACGTTTCATGCACGATCATCATCGAAAGCCTAATATCATTATGCTCCATGCGCAGTCGATTTTTATCAAATTAAAAAGTGTGTTTTATACAAGCAAAATCTAACTTTCCTTTTAAACTTTCCTTTATATGGTTACTGAACAGCGACATAATTACATAACTTTTATCTATTTTTTATTTGATTTTTAATGTCATCTAATAATTTACTTAATTCTTTAAATAATTTCTTCATTTATTTATTTATTTATTTAAGAATTTCTATTATTTATCCTGTTACGTATTCGCTCTATTATTTTATATAAAATGTGACTTAATGAAGAAGTTGAGGCAACACGTCAGCTTGTCTCTTTCTTCGTTATTTCTAAACAATATTCTATTTTTACACAGGTCGCGATGATGGAAATTTGTGTACGGAGCATCTTTTAACTTTTTGAGACGGTGTGATTTGTTGATCATGCTGATGTACGATGCTGATGCATGTTTAACAAATTCAATTTTTGACCACAGAACACTTCATATTGAATTAAATAACTGATACTAAATTAAACTAGCAGTTTTCTTGCAACACTTAAAACATGATCAGCTGCGCCTGCCAAGCTAGTGAACATAAGGATAGGTGGCCACGGGAGTGGCACGCGTTAGCATGGGTTCTAGCATCTTAAAGCTATAATCCTATCGCCGCAACAAACAATGGGCACCTTCTGGCTGATGTATCCTGCTGTTAATTACACCTAGACACAGCGGATTGTCGCGCTCGCGCTGGACCACAGAAACAGGCGTCGTGGGGTTCAGTCGTCTAAGGTATTGTGTGTTATTACGTCTAAACTATTGTGTTTTTGCGTTCAAATTTTAAAGGGATTAGACTGCTTTCCATTGTTTGTCCGCCCCCTTCTATTCACAGGATAGGGATTAAAACATTCTGACGTTTTTAAAACGTCGTACAACGGAAACTTAATTTTTACTACTACTGTATATGTGTGTTTTTTGTTACATTCTTAACGCTGAATTGGGTGTGTGGACGACCGCATGCACGAATCCAGGTTAGACACTTCTCCAGCTGTGTTTTTGGCTTCGGAGAAGCAATAAAATACACCCCTTCCATTCGTTCCGGATAACGAGAATCAGATTTGCAACACCCATAACAACAGTGTTTTACTGGCATGACTTTGTCGGAGAAACATATTCTTAAGTGACAAAAATGCAAAAATCTTCAGCGTAATCTGATACACCGGACAGATGATTATTTGTCCGGTAAGATGGCGGCTGTTTACACATGCGTATCACGTGGCATTAATTATACGGTTCTATTGGTTAAAACAATGCTGTCAATCACTCATCTCGGAAAGGTGAATATTTGACAGCACGCCCCAGAGAGTTAATCTAAGCGGTGAGATTTTTTCAGGTATTGATGACTTTGTTTCTAAAGTAAAAAAAAAAAAAAAATTGATTATGTGTAGCTCTGCAAACAGCAACTGCAAACAGCCATTTTACAGCGAAACTTATCAATTCAATTTCTAGTTATAGCTTTTCATAACTGTAATCACCTATATTTAAAATATTCTCAAAAGACAAAGCTATCTTTGGACTAAAAAACCTCGGTGCACGAATAGTCTATAAATGAAGGTCAGTGGTGAATAAGGCTGTTCGGACTTCCTATATCGTATTATCGGCGGATAAGAACAGGCTTGTTTTGTTGTATCAAAGTCGTTAGTAGATGGCGTGTAAAATAATATAATAAAATAATAAATGTTTTTGATCGGAACTATATAACCGCACAGGGTGATTGGGGTTCAGGTCTTAGAGTTTTTTTAAGCCCGATAAAATTTCCCAGCCTTGGTGACCTTGTGAAAATAATGATAAGTAAAGTGCCCTGGGAAAATCCAAACAGATTTGTTCCAGTGACTCCGTAAAAGAACTGCAAGCGTCATTTGATCAAAACTAGGCTGATCCATTCCTAATGATAATGAATTTCCATGGTCGTCACTTCCAGCATCGCCCTGTACATGAATATGACGAGCCACCAATGATACCAATACCTTCTTCACTGTACTCGGACCAGTCCACGACCACTGACGGTCTGTATGCCTCCATCAGACCTTCTAACATCACAACTGTAGGCCCGGCCTCCTTTGACGACTTCAGTGAGGATGATAATAGTCACGAAGAGCAACATACATCTCGTTTTTATGGGAAACTTAAGCGGCTGCGTTTTTACCTCATGGCTATCTTCATAATGTGTTGTTTACAGATGATAGCCATAGTGGTGATGGGGGCTGTGATTCACCTTCATCGACATGACGGCGACAAAGCGTCTACCGGGGAAGTAAGTGTTATATTAATAAAGGCACCTGTACATGAACAGGTTTAGTAATAGCATGAATGCTCCTTGCTAAATTCGCGTTAGGTAATGCATAGTACTAACTGATTTTATATTGATTTTATTCTCATTCAGGATTATAGAGGACGTATTTATCAGAACCCCTTATCTCCCCCATGCTATTTCTGTTACGAAGAAAGAGGAAGTGATGTATCACATACATTGATGACGCATGTTACTTTCACAAACAAACACATTAAGTTCAGTTGAGATATAGCATTTTACTTTTGATTCATTGAATTTAATTTATTTATTTGCAGCTCTTGGGGAATATCGAGAAGAACGATCACACAGGTGGGAAAAATTTAACAAAATCTCTATTTTCTGTTGATCATTGCGTTAATTATTAATGGCATGCCCAATGTATTTTTTTCATTAAAAACGGGAGAGAGCGGGCTACAAAAGTCGCGTCACAACATTTGGGCTGAAGTGACAAAACATGCGCCGATTGTTTTTCTTAAATCCATGTGTCAAGCCTTTTCGTGTTTAGATTTCAACTTTCTTTCTAGACCTTTCCAATGTCATTCCCAATGATATTCATTCCATAGCTATTTCCAAAGTATTGTAATGCTGGTCATTAGAAGTCAGGAGGTGAGAAAAGAAAAACGTTGTACTGTAGTGTAGATGGACATGTTCTTGTAATGGGCGCGTAACGTAATCTTGTAATACAGCGGCATGTAACGTAAACGGAGCTAAGGTCAGTGGACATTGAAAGAGGTAGAGACAGAAATAGAGAGGAGGCGGGGCGGGAACTCAACTGGAGAGTAATAGATATATGATATATAAGAAAATACTGGTCATGTTTTGATCTAATAAATAATTTGAGTGAAATTTAGTATTTAATATAAAATACCAGTCACAACATGGCTAAATAACGGAAAGTGTTTTGTTTTTATAAAAATGTTAAACCTATCTCCTAAAAGTTGATCAAATTGCGACAGAATCATATGTTATCACTGAAATTTAGTGACGAATAACGAATAAAATATTAAGCCTACAAATGTGCACCTGAGCTCGTAAAGGACCCCACCCGGTGGTTTGAATAGGGGTTATGTCGAAGCATGGCGTCCGTCATACGTGCAAAACAACATTGACTTGCAACTGCAAACGGTTTGTGACTGTGATTACATCATTTGTGTACTCTTGGACTGTCATTCTACCTAGGTCTGTTAAACAGGGTATACATTTTATTTTAACTGGCGGTGTTTGCGAAATAAATGTTATCCGGGGGAACACAAGTCAAACAGGATCTGACGGTACATTGATTTTGGAATAACTAACAAAAGACATTTAATATAAATTTGCGTTCTCTCTACCTAGGACTAAAATTAAAACCTATACAAATTATATAAAAGCAAAATATTTGTATAATTCGTGTGCCACTATACCGTGTACGACGTCCTATCGGCCAAAATGCGTGTATCAATCTGGAAGCCTGGTCGGGACACATCCAACAGCCCATATATCGCTTCATTGAACCTTGACTATACAGTTATTGTAAAGAATACTTGCCCTAGGGTTCTACTGGGTAATCCATTGGAGATTTTTCCTGAATCATAGTGTTGACCAAAGATAATATGTTATTTGCTTCATCATCGGGGAATAGAGCATGATTATCTTGGTCGTATGTACTTAGGTGAAGGGAAACTATGTCAGGTCTCACTATCGCTGAGATAGGGAGTCAAAACAAATAAATGGAGTCACTCTTCTACCTCCTGTCAAGTCCAACACTAAGATCGTATGAAGTCATATGATGTAACGCGTTATGGTGCAATAGCTTTCGAGTAATGTGGCGGCCTCTTTGTATAACGCCGAGGTAAAGAAATTAACTATACAATTAAAGGTTATTAAGTTTGGCGTACATCTTACACTAGTGCAGCACTAGATCCATGTAAAGATAACAAAATGATATTTAAGTGATGAGAACTGAACGAGAGGGGGGAATGTAGAGACGGCGAGAAGGAAGCAGTGAAGGAGTTTGGAAACGACGGAGTACGGGCACAGACGTAGTTGGGAGTTGCAAACTTCACTTAGAATATGTAGCTACCGAGCGTCAACGAATAAATCGTTTAATTAGTCATTATGTGGACCTAGGTTTTCTTTGAGCGACCTTACGTAAATCTGACACGAACCGTGGAATATTCGGATCGCGTTATCCACTAAGTTAATCTCAAACCCAATGTCCTATTTCGACCTCACGCTTGAATTACACGTTCAAAATTATATAAGTTTATGACATTTATCCCATATGTATGTGTAAAAGGTTCATTACACTACAACTCCATGGATTTTCGATGTAGCTGAGGCCGACAAATTAACATCAGGGGAGATCGCCTTACTTAGAGACCCACTACTACTGGTACACTGTAAAAAAAAAACAGCGTTAGCATTTAAACACATAAGAAATATGTGTAAAAGCTAAACACGCATAGCATTTAAGGCTTGTCATAGAAGAAAATGCTAGACTCGTTCGACAGTGTTACTCGTTAGGCCACGAGTCTAACTTCATCGGCATATGACTCTATAATACAATAGTTTATCATAAGGCTAAGGACACTGGCTAAGCACTTCCCCTGCTAAGCGCGTGGAACTGTAAACATATTGAGCTGCTACAAGTGTGGAACTTCTGAACGCGTGGAGCTGCTGAACAGCACGTTTAGCTTTTCAAGCTTCTCACAGAAGAAAATGTTTAACATGCTTAGAAGTGTCGCACTTTTAGCTATGTGGTTAGTTTCACCGGTACCATAACAAGTTTATAACAAGGCTCAAGAATTTGGCTTAACATTTTGTGAAATCGTTAAGACATTGGAGAGTTTATGTTACTCATGCTTTATTTTTAAACGTTCAGTTCAGTAACCATTCACATCGCTTATGTCGGTACATTAAATGGACTAGTCAGCAGGTCAGCATATCAGCATGACAGCAAGCAAGCAAGCAAGCAAGGTACATAATCTAAAAAAAAAACAAAACAATAAATAAATAAAATGAATAAATAAATAAATAAATAAAGGAAACTATATAAATACTTATGCATCAAATACATAGGCCTAAGTATAATTTACTAGATATATAAAACATTACATTACATTAATTCGGTTATATATAGCGAGACTTGAAATTTGCTATATCTATACAGTAAACAGAAATGATATGAAGTTTACCTTATAATGCAATAATCATAATTAAAACGTTATATACTGAATTACAGGAAGGGTTTTGCAGTTGATAATTAAACCAATGCGTTCTCATATTATCATTTATCGTACTTCATATTAATTACCACACCCTACCAGGTGCTCTATCTTATATACCTATTTTTTCACCTTTATAATTTATACAGAAAACTTATAAATACACACTTGATAGTATAAACACTTACATTATGATTTCTCCCTTTGAACTGTTACAATACACTATACTACGTTGGGAAATACGGTTAGCTGCAGGAGAGACCCTTCTTGTACGGATTCTTGTAGCGTTATGACCCAGTAGCATTCAAATAGGCGCGCTACTCACACAAGTAATGAAAACTACTCACAACTGTTACAGCTAAAACAAGGAATCTGTACTTACACCTTGTTTATATAAAACAGGGAATCTGGCACTTACACATTTCCCCTTGTAAACTTGACACTTCCCCTTGTAAGGCGTGAATTAGCCTGCTGGAACGCATTGTGTCCTTCCTTGCAGTAACATGTGCTTATTTAAAAATATGCCTATTAAAGATGTATATAAGGTTATTTTTTGCCACAAAAAGCAGCTAAATGTCAGCATAAAGTTTCAAACAAAATAAATGAGAGAATTACCAAAAGTCATTGTTTAATATTACCCGAAAAACGACATTTGAATGGATTTTCCTTCTAGCTTACTATCCGGTATATACATTGGGGCAGAAAAGTAGGTCACATAAGTAGCTTGAATTTCTGACCAAAAATTTAAAGAAAGGAGCTGTCTAAACCTCTTTTATTAACCTTTTTCATCTTTTGCGGAAATACGAAGTGCGCATGACAGGAACCGCGCGCCACAGGGGTCATGGTGGTCCTCTGCTGCAATGCTAGGTGTAGATGATGTACAAGGTGCGCATATAAAAAGGTCGTATGAAGCGTGCATTGCTTTCTGTCAAACTAAAAAGGTGGCTGAAGCACAGAAATGCGTAAACTGAAGGCAAGAAACAGCTATTTGGACGGAGAATCAAGCAATAAATATTTTCTTTCTCAGTTTAAATACGATGCGCTTTACAACTAAACTTCACCTAAGCGTCCGAGCCTTGGCTGCACTTTCAATAGTGATGATGAACTAAAGCTACGGAGTTCTTTTAAATGCTTCCGATAATAAAGATATGCGAAAGAGACTCGTTATTTTTTTATATATAAAATCAAAATAGCCAGTAGACTCGTACACAGCTTTCAAGAGTGTGGACAGGTGCGCAGGCCTACGTCTTCACAATTTTGTACATGTTGTATGCAAGCTGTGGCGATATCACCTCATGTACCGGCAGTGTCAATTCATTACGATTTTTATGTCTTGTTTGAAGGATATCTTAAGAGATTTTTAAAGTGATAAAATGAAAAGATTTCCTGCATTGTTTGACTCGTACATGTAACTACTGTGTACAGGGGCGGATTCAGAGATATTTTCTGACAGCCTTCCAAATTATCTTTGTTGATCCATCCTCCATTTTTGACCGTCTTCCGACAGAAAATATTAGATACCCGTCAATGTAAACTTTAAAATCTGACCGTCTTCCGGAAGACCCAGAAGATGGCCTAAATCCGCCCCTGGTGTATACAGGTAAAACTGACACGCAGATCGTTCGTCGGTGAACTGATTAAATCGTTTGGTACCTGATAAGGCATCAGGTGTTACTTGTTCGGTAAGGCGGGCGGCCACAACTACGACCTTTCCTCTGTAATTAAAACCTTTTAAGTGTTAAATAGGTGAGACAGGAATTCTCGACTCTTTCCCAGACGATAATTAAAGTTTACCGTGTCTTACTCTAGTATAAGTACAATATTTACGACAGGTAAAAAATGTCAGCCTTTCGGTCTGACAAGTATGAACATTTTGTCAATCTGAAACAAAAACAAAATTATAGCAAGAGCCCAAATTATTTGATTTTTAAACGTTTTTATGCGTTTTTTCATCGTTTTCAATCACAGACAATTAAAACATTCAAATAAAGTGTTTCCCACACATTTCATACTTTTCAACTATCTAAGACAGTTAAATATACGTAGGCCTACTTTAATACTAAGCATGTTTGTATAACTTTACAAATACGTTGTTGGATTATGTTTATTATCCATTTTGTCTTTACCATACATGTATTATGTACGTGTAGCTTACAGAAAGGCTTTTCTGCATTTTTTGTAAAAATATGCCCATTGAATTTTCCAATTCTCTTGTCATTGAGTTCAGATTCGCCGATAACGCGTTCAACAAGAGCCGATGTACTTTCTTCTTCGTATGTCTCTGTTGATCTTGATAATATGAGCCCCGTTTGTACAAATCAGTAATACGTATACATAATAATAAAAATTTTATTAACGTCTCACGTTAAAAAAAAAACAAAAAAAAAAAACATAGAACCCACCCTGCTAAGGGTTATTAGAGACTAAAACCTGTGATGGGCCTACAACATTTAAAATGATCACTTATCAATAAAACACACACAAAAAGGATATTATATACAAAACTTTTCAAACCTTCTCTTTGTTGTTACACAAAAAGTCGTGAAAGTTCTTGAATTTTTTGTAAGTAGAATCCCCGTGTAAAACACTTCAAAGCTTTTACTTTCTTTTTCCATAATCTCATGCTTGAAGTCTTTTCTTAATTTTTAGGCCCCGGCCTATTCTCCAATTTTTTCTTCAAATCTTTATAATGTTTTTTTTTCTCGAATTTTTACCCCCGAGTTCTATTTGCCGATAGTTTGTTATATCCGTTGTTTAACTAAGCATTTCTGTTTTTTATTAAAGCACCGTTGATCTCCTAGTATTATAGTTTTTCTTCCCGCCTTCGAAATGTTCAGCGCAAACGCGGTGCCCTGCTTTTGATCCAAACTTGCTATATTTTCCTTTCTTTCTACCATATTTTTCATTCTAACGGGTTTGTTGGGAACTTATTAAACCTCATGTGTCGATCTCGCTTACTGTTATTGTAGTAGCGGGACAAAAAGCACGTAAACCCAGCCATGGTTTTAATCACCGCTGTAAGTGTTTCGACGTAGCAGGGCTCCCCTACCCACAATGCAATTTCCATTTCCGGAAAAGATGAAAAAGGCAAATAGGTGATCGAGTGATTTATTCCCTTTATCCCTTGGCGTGTCGAAATTAATTTAGCCGTATAAGAATTTAGTAAAAGTCGTTAATATGTGTTATTCTCAATCAACGCTCCACCGTTGCTCGGTTCATATGTTCCTTTTAATAATCCAAAAAACAACGTTTTCACGACGTTATCTGATAATATTTGGTATTGTCATAGAACATTACGGTAACGTTATGGGTGTTTTTAACTCCATGCAAAATGATGTCCCAGCTAACAAAAAAAACATTATGTGTGTGTGTGTGGCTAGAACAGGTGAAACCCTTAGCACCTAAAAGTTAAACAGATACACCATATATGCATTCGGTCTAAAAGCGTGTGACGTGTTAAGGAGTCAAACGTGCTTAGGAGCTAACGCGTCGAATAAATGAAGCGCTTAGAGATATGTTTAAAATTTAAATACTGTTTTTACAGTGTAGATATGAGTCTTTTTGACCTACGTATGAAAGTGTCACACATTAATACCGAAATTCTGCTGTCCAAGGCGGGTCGGCCAATAAAGAGAACCTGTAGAGAAAAATGTTCTGCGGGGATAATGATACATAACTGGATGATAAAAAATATTTAACACTACCTGTGAGTTCCCCAGTGTAAGCAGGTTTAGTCCGTGCACGATGTAACCATTGTCTCACCTCTTAACTGTATCTGCTACTGATTAACATAAATAGAAGATAAACAACATCAATGGGGCAATAAAATATTTACGATTGGGAGAGGGGAGCTTAGGCTGACGCACGTTGTCTATCGGTTGAATTGATTGGGCATCCTTGGGTTGTGATGGGCGTTAAACGCTGGCTGGTTCAATCTATGCCACTCCTAGGAATTCGGTAACCCAGAAACTACATGTATAGCTCGTTTGTATAAACCGTTCCATAAGCAAATACTGTCTATATCCAATCATTTTGTATTACACAAGGTGTAAAGTCCACTTTCTTATCTTCACTTATTTATTAGCTTATAGTGACAATAGTAACAGATAAATTTGAAATAAAATTCGTATCAATAGTTTCCACGATATGTCATCACTTTAGCAAAAGTGTTTTTCTTTTTAGAAATATTATCCTTTTCGACACTTTTTCAAATTGTGTGTCCCTCCTGCGTATGCAATTTTATACAGATGGGCATTTATAGGGCCCTTATGTCTAATTTGTTAGTTTCATTTCATAAAGATAACACATTATTTTGTATTTTTTTCTGTGTAATTACATCGAAAATAACACTGTTGGTACCCTTCTTTTAAGGTGTGCTGAGAAATATGTCGAGGCTAGCTACGGGCAGTCAAGAGAGAAGGATGAACAACATCACGCAGAAACTGGATTCCTTGGAAAGTATGTTTAATGGTAAATATTACGTTTTGTTATTCCGAAGAAACATTTTTCGTTCTGGAAACAGGCAGGGTGTTATTTTCGTTTTAGTGATTTGAAAGGGGGTTAAAGTTGGGGATTTAAGCTAATAGTTAATCTTAAGTTATGAACAGTTTATCCAGTTGTGAACAAATAAAGCATGAGGATACCTGAATTCCCGTGTCTGGCGTTAACTTTATTAATTTATTTATTACTCATAATTTATATATTTATGTTAATATATATCCCTTATTCCAGGTCTCCAAGCTAACGTCACTGACTTGCTCCAGTCATCCAGGAAAGACTCCATCCCGTTGACACTTGCCCATCTGATAGGCTGGAAAACCAGTGACACTTCTCGTAAGTTCTCATGACAGTTGTTTTAAATATGTTTAACAAGGAGGTGACTTTCTTCGGTAAAATACTGACATATGCTTAATAATTGAATATTTTGATTGTGCAAATCCTTTAATATTACAAGATGATATACAGTCATTGACTTTGGGTGAAATCACCTCTTGGCAATTTAATCAGAAGCTTGGATAAGTGTCAGACTCCAAAACTCGGCTGTTGACCATTATTCTTCTTTCTAAGATATGCAATTATTTCTCTCAAATATTATAATACCTTGGTTGTTATCTCATATAGATACTAAAATGAACTGAGGTTATTGTGTATATCTCAAAATATTTCACCACTGTACCTCTAAAATGTGTATACGCGGAATGCTTCACTAACAATGTTCTTTGTTGTACTAAATAATCGTATTAAACAACATTACGTCTATCTATCACTTTTTTCTTTTTTCGTGTATGTATGTTCTAAAAAGAACTAAATTGTTAATAATCATCCCACTGCATGTATAAAAAAACTGGCATCTGTTTTATATTTAAGGTTTTACTTGGCGAACCGGTCCCCACACAAATAGTTTTCTCACTGGAGACGTCCGATATAACGTCACCAAAGGGTACTTAACTGTGGGGCGAGAGGGACACTTTCTCGTGTATAGTCAACTGTGTTTGAGAGGTCCAAAAAGTGGAACGTTTGACCATCAAATCCAGAAGTACAGTGGAGATAGCTGGAAAACAGGGCTTTACAAGGCAAGGTATTATACCGGGTCAAGTCGGATTGATTGCGACACTTTAACAGGAATAATGCATCTTAGAGAAAATGACAGTATCAGAGTTGATCTTTCAAAAGATAATTATATCACTGGGAATAGTGTGTTCAATTCATTTGGTCTGTACATGCTGTCATCACTGTAAGTTTAACTATATGGACACTGAAGGGACGATATGTGACATTTCATACGACGTCATTCTTCCAAACAAATTTGTGATTAACGAGAGCAAAATAATTTTTTTTTAAAGCATTTATATAATATAAATCGGCTTAAAAAAATAATAACCATGTTTTATGAACTATTTTTTACTGACCCATGTATAGCAAGTATACAACAGTCATGATACGTATTTATGACTCTAACGGCTGTATACAAAAACGTTAATAATAACTGACATAAAGTTTGATATATTAATTTGATAATTGCAAGAAGCAAAACAATAACCCGACTGTTGTATTTTGTTGAACTTGGAGAACTATTGCATTTGTGTGTTCGCCTTTATCTTTCTTTTAAACCTTTATAGATTGTATCTTAGACACGTGCACCTTAAGTCAAGTATTGATGACAACATAAAATATTGAGTAAATTATATACAATGTTGTCAGTAAGAAGGTTCAATGAATAGATTAAAAGAAGAAAACATTTATGTTATGAGAGTATAAAGTTTATTTTCTTATTTTACTGGCATTATTTGTCAAGAATCGCTTAGTTAGTAGAAAACATTCACCGTTTTGTATAAGTGAGTTATCAATTATACACAAAAAATATGTATCCTGTAATTAGTATGCATTCTGATGTATCCCCTGTATTTGAAAGCAATACCTTGAAAAGTCAATAACGTGTGTTTAAAATAGAACCCAATTAATTCATTTATTAGAATTGATATTAAATAAAATATACCTGTATGCCTCAACATAGTTCTATCTTAGGAGGGCTGGTTGAATCTATCTCAATCCACCCACAATATATGTTAGTAACCTCCAACGTTTTATTTGCCTTAGAGCGTGCATGCGCAGCCTGTCTCCTGTGCATGTAACACATAAGTACGGCGACTCAGCCTCTGTAACGGTCGGGGCCCCGTATCTCGAGTAGCGATATCACATAGAGACTACAATGTATTATATGGGGCGAGTACGGGCGAGTTGTGGAATCGAGACGCTTGCGCACGGTCGCAAAGCGCGATGCTTTCGAGATACGGGGCCCAGGTGGTTTCTTTGATGGTTTGCTTATTGGTATCCACATGACAACATAACGTCAGCCATAATGTCACATAAACCATAAGATATACGAATTGACAAAACCACTGCACTGCGGTGTGTCGCACGACGAAAAATCTGTATCCGACCCACATCTATTGCGTGTTACTAGTTTTAGCTGAGAAAAAAAGAAAATGGATCAAACTGAATTGAGTGTTGTATGATCTATAAGATTAAATTCACTTAATTAACTTCACTAGATAAAAATAAAATCTAGAATTAATGATTTTTTTCTTGTTTCTGACCTTGTTTATTATTATTATTTTTTTAAATAAATAACACGTTAAAGCAATTTCCTTTGATTTAGACCCGCATAATATATTGTGGACATGTGTACAGCATGTTTTCTCGAGATAAGTGGTAGCAGACGTGAAACATGTTCGTGTGGTATGTCAATTTTTGTTTTCTTCTTAAGTAATCTTTTAATTAAAAAATTACATTGATAGTGTCACATTCTTCTATCACGCACGTTCCACTGCACTGTGAATGATCTAACTCAAATGGATAATACCATGTCTCTCTAGGCCGATCATTTAGTAAATTTGAATTTGTTTTGGTCGATTTTTATTGATTAGATTACAGTGTCTGGGGTGCCGTGGAATTTAGCCTCAGTATAGAGGTGGTGATTGTGTATCGTTCCGTGCGTTATTATTCAAGTGTAAGTAACGAGTATTCTCAATGGAATAAGGTCAATGTCGTTTGGACAGAGGCACCTGCTCATGACTTACAGCGTCGGAAGCTTGGATTTTATATATTTTTCACATAATTAAGGTAATGAAACTTTGTATTTCATATTTTAATTTGTTGGGCTAATTTTGAAACGCCTTTGGATCTGGGGGGGGGGGGGTGCACTCATGGCAAATTTTTTGGTGATTGAGGTTGACACATTTGCGTCGCTTACGTTAACATTCATTGGCAAGTACTTCACTTCCCTAGTGATAAATGTAGCAAACAGTCCATAAGGGCTGACGAAAATGAGACCAGAAATGAACATGCTATTCCATTTGTGCGAGTGTAAAATAGTTTGAGTGTTAGGAACTCCAAGTGACCCCAAGCAATTGCTTTTGATTCCGCTAACTTTGTAATCCTTCTCTATTTGAAAAATACGTATCGTCCTCGCCCACTGTTCTCTGCATTGACTTTAATGCACAGTTGCCTACAGCTAAAGAAACTAGTTCTTTGCTAAAATCTTTCACAATAACAAACAAATTGAATGGATTTGTCCAGCGCACTTGTAGTGTCTCCGCTTTATGTACTTCTCAGATAGTTGCAGCTTACCCTATCCAAAACACTTGTTATTACATCAAACCACTATTTACATCTATTGCTTATCAATACCTATAATTTTTTTCTAATATCATATAAATATAAATATGTAAACTAAATTACATAAATTGAGATTTATTAGCTTGAATTGGTTAATAATATGTGTGCAGCAAACAGATCTCTGGCGCTCAGGAAAACTCCTTCAACAAACAAATCAGATGGATTTGGCCAGCACACTACTAGAAATTCAAAAAGTTGGGCAAATAGTAAAAATGCCTCAATCATTCTATTACATGTGCCAAGATATAGAAACTGACAATCTGGAATCAAGCGAAGAATCAGACTTTCAACGGCCATGCCTTTCCCAACATATGTCATTTACCTGCGAAATTGCGTGTAGCTCCCCCTGAGCGAATTGAATGCAACATAATGTCTAAATCACCAACCACTTTTCTAAATCTATTCTGACTAAGCATTCTCTGGATCTAATTTAACTCAAACATTTGCTTTAACTAATCAAGGCGCATCCATCTTTGGATTTATAATTGGGTTTGAATAAAAATAATCATCACTATTGATATCAATTTCTTCACTGAATGGTAATCTCTCGACGACTTTGGTAAATTCAATAATGGCTTTTTGTAGCTCACCAACAGTAAGTGATCCAGTGTCACAACTTACATTGACCTGTACTTTAGTCTTTAGCAAGTTGTTTTAAACGTAACCACCAAGCCACATCTCTTTTAAGTCTATACCACGAAGACTGCCTATAAAGTAGAGAGCTTTCGCACCTGCACGTTTAGGCGACCGGCTACATTTAGCTATCCGTAACCGTAAAATGACCGACGTTTATTTTCTAGTGATTTCGCAGAAAGACCCGGTTAGTCTTTACGGATAGTCGAATTGTACAGTAGGCTGATACATGTCACACATGCTGTAAAGCCTCGGTCACAACCGGACGCACGAATTTCAGGATCGTACGTCCCCTGCGATTTTTGGGTGTTGCGGAGGCCGTGGAGGTCGTAGAGGTAGAGGAAAGTCTGCCTTGCGAGTCGCAAGAGCCACATGAGATGTCCTTTCAGGCAGGGACGCTAATTGCAAGGAGCGATGGTCGTGGAAATTGTACTCATTTTTTGAGTTTGTCTTGCTTCCTGTGTACGTGGCACACACTCACCACTTACGAAGGGAATGCAACGCGCGGCAAAAGTAGTGTCCTTTTGCGTAATTTTTGCTTCAAACTTGCCTCACACGTTTGTGATGACGTACTGACGGCGTACGTCAGTTTTGCTTCCTGTTCTCCTCTTCTTTTTTCTTCCTCCTCCCTTTTTTCTACTACGTAAGTTTCTTTATCTTGCCTTTTGGAGTTTTGGAGGCATATTAGAAAATAAATTGAGCAAACATTTGAAAATTTTTAAAATTGTTGTACACGTTACATAGTCGATGCTCAATGTAAATACACGAGCGTTCGTCGTGAGCACGCCTTTTATACACCAGGTGTGGGGGTGACGCACGTGCGACGCATTCCCGGTGTGCTCTCGACTTTGTTCGTTAGTTGTGGAGGCGTGCGCCTTACTCAACACGCAAAGGGCACTTGCTCCTTCATTGCTTGCGACGTGAGTCTTGCACAACGCGCGTCTCTCCGTGCGAGGGGGGCAAGTTACGTTTGCGGCTTCGCTCTTCGCAGGCTATTTGTAGAAAATTTTAGACATGTCCAACATCCTCCGTACGTGCTTACGGGCTGTCTGCGAACTCGAATTTGCGTAAGAAGGCCTTGCGTGAGATTCTGCGGAAAATTTGGACGCAAACAGCCCGTAAGAGCCCGTACGGTCGGTTGTGACCGAGGCTTATGCAGTGACGTCATTGGACAGGTTAGGTAATTTTGGAATGGTCTTCCATACGCAATTTATGGAGATCCGGCTTACCCCGTTAGAAGGTATTTGTTGAGTCCCTTCAGAAGAGCAAATTTGAGTGCTGAAGACGAAGAATTCAACAGGAGAATGTCCTCTGTGCGGGAATGCGTCGAGTGGGAGTTCGGAAACTTATTGTGAAACTTTGCCTTCCTGGACTTTCGAAATAATTAAAAAGTTCTGTTGTCTCCTGTAGCCAAGTACTACTTGGTAGGTGGTCTTCTGGTCAACAGCCATACCTGTGTCTATGGCAATCAGATGAGTAGGTACTTTTAACTAGATCCTTCCACCTTGGAGGACTATTTAGCATGAACTGTACTCGTGTACATTGTGCGTATGGAAAATTTAAGAGTAAAATGTAAAATTCATACCACAAGCAAACATTTATTTAAATGAAATCTTGAATAAAAAACTAATGTATTAACAAAGATTCAGCCCATGTGTATCTTGCAGGCAGCAAGAGCCTAGTATGTCAATTCAGTTTTTCTTTTTAACCAAGGACATAACCATATCCATCATTTGTTTGTCTCTCAATTTGAGCTTCTCGCACTTTCTTTACTAATTCAAAGCGTTCTTTCTCGAAGGCCAACTTGTCTTTCGGGTAGCTGACGTAATCTGCTGGTGAATCAGTACGGCGCTTATTAGTTGGCGGCAGGTTGTCGCAATTTTCAGTTGAAAAAATAAGCGTGTCACCAATGAATGCAGCGTCAGTTTTTGTTACTGATATAATAAATATTATTCAATATTTGCTATTAGAGACAATTTCATGTAAAGAAAGATGTGCTGCCCTTACTTTTATTTATAATTAATTTGTTCAAATACACAAAACAGGACGCCATGTGACTTTCGAAACAAGGCTTCATAAAATTTGCATTAAAAGTCAAGGAGACCTAACAGTCTTATAATACAATCAGTCACGCGTGCGGAAGGCCAGTTCTGACTGCCTTGTGGTCAGTGGAAAATGCCTTTTTTACGGTTATAACCTATATTTCAATAGTAACAAAACACATAGACACAAATAACAGAGGCAACATGTTTCACATATATTGCAAAAATAAAATGCCCAATATGATTTTAGCAGAGAAATTATCAGTTTTGAAAGGTTTGATTTCATAAGAATATGCTGATTTGCCAAACAGTTTTTCATTGACGGGTAGCAATCTAGCTGCGGATAATGTTCTCTCTAACCGTATGTGTACACTTCACTAGACAGCAAAATATGATGACCTAAACGTAGTCGTTCGCCTAAACGTGCACGTGCAAAAGCTCTCTTGTATCTTGTCATCAGCGGTGTCTTCTATTCTGTCAGCCTGAGTCACCTGTGTGGTGACTTTAACTTCCAGAGACATGTCGTTGTCTGTATATAAAATCTCACCTGATAAGCTTGACCATTGCTGTTCATCTTTCCGTAGGAAGTTTGGTCCTTCTTTCCATCTCTTGTTATGGAGACGTTGGTTTGCTGTCTGTCCCCTTGAAACGTCATCCGTTGGGCTGCTCTTTTTGGATCCACACAGTGCCACTGGTTTGGCTGTGAGCCTTCTTTGCTTCTTAGTAGGACTCTTGGTAGATTTTTAGTTAGATCCGGTGTGACGGAACTCAGAGTCCGGTGTGATACAGAGTCCGGGACCGTCACATTCAGAAACCAGGGGTCCGGAGGACCCCTGGTTTCTGAATCTGACAGTCTGCTTTGAAATACAGGGTCCCTCCGGACCCTGAATAATCTTAATATAGAGTGTCCCCCGGACTCTCTGTTATACCGGACCCTACATTCCGTTACAGCTATGGCGAAACAGAGAGTCCGGAAGTCCGATAATAAATGAGAATATAATGTTTTTCTGTCTTCTAGTTATATGTTATCCGTGGCTATAAGTAAAAAAAATAAGCTTAAACTTTTAAGCCGATGAATTTCTAGGTGGTTGGCACAGCGACCTCATGGACGAGTGGGACAGCGTGCAGGCACTAATGACCAATGTAAGTAAAGTAAAGGTTGTGTTTCGTGTTCGAACCCTACACCTTCTAAATTATTATTATTTGTTATTCCGATATTTTTTATTTGTTTCGTTACC